TTCGGCATTTGATATAGTCTCCAAATGCCCCTCTAAATTTCAGCCAGTGAACCCAAGTGGATTATGGGTGTGTTGAGATAGTTTTTTCCTCAGTCTATGGGGACGGAGATCTGGGTCAGCACTTCAAGCCAGGTGTGGTCCTGTCTTTTCATCCCAGTGTGCTCAACAACTAGGTATACTTTTGTATGTGGGTCACGCTATGAATTATGTAGGAGAACACTTACTATCCCAAGCAATTCCCCTTCTACCCTCCAACATATATGCTGAACACACACATTCTCCTGAAGGGTGGAAGTTCATTGCCTTCTCAGACTTTTCATCTGAAAAATAGGGACCAAGCTGGGTGATATCAGAGGTCTCTTGACCTATGAACCTTGGAACCCAGTGTTGGGAGGGAGTTGGGACTCCATGAGGCTTAACCAGCCTGATAAGAAAGCCAAAAACCTTGTAGGAAGAGAGCCATGGTAGGTGAGAGAACAGAGGCTATGCCTTAGCCTCACCTTGCAGCTTTGGTTGCATGGGGGCCAGATGGGAAGATTCTAGATATCTACTCTTCCCCACTCTGTGCCCTTCTGTCAGAGTATCCCCCTTCTTCATACAAAGGCCCTTCAGTCTGAATGCTTGGGTTTTAAAGCAGTGAGACTAGAGAAGTGCCCCATCTGTTGGCCTCATTAGCAAAACTGAAGGAACACCCTGGCCAGGATTGGTGGAGCTTATCTTTTCCTTCCTGACAGGAAGCCAAGAAGCCTCAGGGATCTAGGTTAGGATGGGATAGCCAGGCAGCAAGCAGAGGTGCGGAAGGGTGGGGTGAGTAGGCTCCCCCATCCACCTCATTCATTAGGCAGCAGATGAGGCAGAAGGCAGTCTGGACTCAGTCAGACCTGAATTTTAATCACGGCTTAGCTGCTGACTTGTGTGGCCTTAGGCAAGTCAGGGAACCTCTGAGTCTCAGTTTTTTCATCTGTTAAATGGAGTAATAATCTCTCAGCGGGGCTCACAGATATTATATGAGACACAGTAGGTATAGATGTGACACAGACTGCCAGTGCTGTCCCTTCTCTACCACAGTTGGCCAGGGGTGGCTTGTGGCCCATGTCGCTCTAGCACCCAAGGGCCTCGGCCCCAAATGCCTGGAGTTCCAGCTCCAGGGCATGAAGGTCCTTAGGAGAGCAGGTAACTGTTGCACTGACTCACGGCGTCTTGTGAAGGGGCAGTTCTTTAGTGAGCCATTGGGTCCTGCATCTGTAAGATAAGCAAGGCCTTTGGCCTCGAAGCTCCAGGATTCCAGGGAAGGTCTGATTTGGATGCATTTGTTTTCCGACAATGATGGTGGCGTGGTGGAGGGACTTGCTTGTTTTCATTGTCAACAGCTGATGGTGCCCCTAAAGCTCATGGCATGCCTGTCTCAGTGCTCCAGCCGTGCTGAGGCAGGGGCTCCGCTGGAGTCTCAGTGGTAGAGATGACGACGCCAGGGCTCGGAGAGGTCTCGAAGCGCTCTTGCTCAAGTTTGTAGAGCTAGCTGGAAGCAGAGCCTGGAGTTCAGACCTAGGTCCTAAAGCAGTCTTGTCCTGGGGAGAAGACGATGGTCTGTGAGGGAGTCTGCAGGAAGGTTCCAGGTTTGCAGACGGAGCTGGGCCTGAGTACGCTGGACCTCCGAACCACAGCAGGCGGGGCAGGTGTACCTGTGATCCAGGGCCGGCCGAGGCTGGGTGGATTACGGCATCTGGACCAGTTAGGGTGCTTTCTCTGACTCACTCTCTGCCTTCACTCATGGAGTAAATTCTTAAAAATATTCTGTATAGGGACCAGCAGTTAGCATAATGGCTATGTCGCTGGATTCCCATGTAGTCAACCGCAGTTCAAGTCCCGGACCCGGTGGCTTAAAACTCACGCTGGGCGCGTGTGCATGTGTGCCAAAGATCCCGAGAGGAGAATGGAGGAGAAGGGACTGCGGCGTGGCGACTTATTTAATTTTGGGACCAGCAGATGGCATAATGGTTATGTTGCTGGACTCCCATGTAGTTGACCGTGGTTCGAATACCGGACCTGGCAGTTTAGAACTCATAGCAGGCACATGTACGTGCATGTCCAAAACCTCGAAAAGAGAATGGAGGAGAAAGGATTGTGGCTGGGGGAATTTTTCATTTTTCGTCTCTCCATCTCTCTCTGGTGAGTGCATATGCCTTATAACAAAAATCTCTCTAAAAAAATTACTTATTTAATTTAATTAATTATTATTATTATTATTATTTTTAATTTGTCCAGAAAGAGAGAGAGAGCAAGAGAGAAAGCAAGCCACCAGGTCCAGGACTTGACCTGCAGTCGGCCATGTGGGAATCCAGTGCCTTAACCACCAGGCCACCTGCCAGCCCCCATAATTCCACCTTATGGCCTTGTGATTTTCCTGTTGCCCAGAGTAACAGCTTTGAAAAAAAACCTGGTTTTAACAACAAGAATAAGAGCAGAGATTGAAAAACAAGATAGTGAGAGGTAGGAAAGCCAACTGTTGGTGTCAGCGGGGTTACAGATGTGCAAACAAACACGCACCTGGGCCGGGCTCTCTCCGCGGGCAGCCGGGACAAAGTCCAGAGAGCGAGAGTGGGGTGGCCGGCCCCATCTTGCAGCTGGATGGCTGGTGGGCTGGCCGGCTGCCACGGCAGAGAAGCCAGGCCGGGCTCTCTCACTCCACCTCTGCCCCTGTGGGCAGCCTCAGCTCCCACGGGATCGGGTGCCAGACTCACCCAACTGGCTAGACTTCCATGCCTCAGGCCGCCCCTGGGGTGTATCCTAGAGGCCGGGACAGAGGCTTCCTCTTAGCCCAGCCTGCTGTTCTCTGGCCTGGAAGCCTCCAGGCCTGGCATACATCTGGGGTCCGAGCAAGGCTTTGGAGGGCTTTGAGCAAGCAAGCATTTCTGGGTCTGTTGTCATCCTAATTGGCTTGCACTTGAACTTACAGGGTGTCAGGCACTTACAGATACTAACTCCTTTAAGCAGCTCCCTAACCCATTATTAAGTTCATTTTACAGGTGGGAAAGTCGAGGCACAGCGGTGGAATGATCGTCCAGGGCCACGCAGCTGGCAAGATGAGACAGATGTGGCATCTTTGTGCGGGGAGAGTGAGTGGGAGGTGAGGGCCAGGTACTAGCCTGGATGGAGCCCTACTAAGTGCCACCTTCCCGCCTGTGTGGGGCAGACAGGGTCAGTGACCCCATTTGCTGATGCGGAAGCAGCGCTACAGTTTCCTAAGATCATGCAGCAGATGGTGGCAGAGCCGGGGGCGAGAACTGAAGCCCGCTGTGTAGCTCTGAGCCCTGCACTCCTGATTGCTCGCCGTGCTGAAGCCCCGGTGAGCAGGGACGGGGTGGCAGGTAGAGAAAGCAGAGAGCCCTGCTCCCAGAGCCTCCAGTCCTCCACTTCATTGTCGGCCCCAGCCAGCTCTGTGATCTATGGCCTGTCACTCTCTCTGGGCTCCTCTGAAAAGTGCAGTGACCAAAGGTCTTCTCGTGCAGAAGCGATATGCTCTGGGATGAACGACCTCAGGGGAGTGGCCTTCAGAAGGTCGAGGTGGGGACCAGCAGTTAGCGTAATGGCTATGTCGCTGGACTCCCACGTAGTCGACTGCGGTTCGCATCCTGGACCCAGTGGCTTAAAACACGCCGGGTGCGTGTGCGTGCGTGCCCAGGATCCCAAGAGGAGAATGGAGGAGAAGGGATTGCGGTGTGACCATCCCCCCTGGGGGGTGATTTCTCGCTTTCTGTCTCTATGTCTCTCTCTGTCTGTCTGGTGAGTGCACACGCCCTATAGCAAAAACCTCTCAAAAAGAAAAAGAAGGTCAAGGTGGAAGCCCGGTGCAGGGCGCTTCTGGTGCCCTGTCTTCTAGACGGCAGAGTGCCAGCAGGTTCTCCCGGCCAGGCCCGCCTGTGCTCCCCCGGGGACAGCCTGGCGGTGCTAGGAACAGCCCCAGTAGTGGCTCTTATGGTGTCGGGACCCTTGGAAGATTTGGAAACCCGGAGGCCCAGGCTGCACCTTCACTGGGATCCCTGGCAGTGGGCCAGGCTCCAGCACCTGCTAGAACTTCTGGGTGATTCCAGCGAGCAGCCAGGATTGGGGGCCACCACTCTGGGAGATGGGGGAGACAGCGCCTAGCCCCTTGGGGCTTTCTGGAGCCTGTGAGCCGTGGGTGGAAGCACGTGCCTGCCTGTCTGCGTGCCCGTTTCCCGGAGGAGGGCCGTAGCCCCTGGCCGCTTTTCTGACCCAACGGACACTAAAATCCAGCCTTGGGGAAGCAACCCTTCCCCACCCCAAGCCAGTGATAGCACTTCTAGGACCCAGAATCCTCCAGTTGATCTGTCTGTCTCCTCTAAGAAACTTGTCCTGACCTCTCCAGACACCCCCCCCACCACCTCTTCTTCCTACAAATGTACCCTAAACGCTTACCGTGGGCTGGGCTCTGGAACATGGAGTGAACGAGGCAGGTGTGGTCACGCCCCTAAAGAAGCCTGTGGGGGCCGGGCAAATGAATAAGGTCACAGCCCTGAAAAGGTGGCATGACAGGGCCGGGCATCAAACCTGCTGCTTTTTGGGGGCCGGCCCTTCCCCTAGAGGTGCTGATGGCTCAGGCAGGGCAGGGCCAGGTGCAGGGGCAGGGGAACTGGGCATTGGCAAAGTTTGATTCTAACATGTGGTTGGAGCTGAGGCCTGCAGTGGAGGTATTCAGGGAAGGCCTCCAGGAGGAGGGGGGCTGAGCCTGCGGGAGACAGATTTGGAGAAAGAGTGCTTTTGTTTAAAAAAAGTGCAAAGGCCCTGGGGTGGGGAGGGCCTGGTATGCTGGTATGGTGGGAAGAGGCCAAGTGTGCGTGCTTGGGGAGGGCCAATGTGCAGAGTGGGCCGGAGGGCCAGGGTGAGCTGGCAGGGCCCTGCTGGCCACCTGAGCATGTCGTCGGCCACATCACCCTGGAGGGCTGCAGGCGTGGGGATAAGATCCGGGTTGTGTTTTTCAGAGTCATCCGTGCTCTGCTGTACGAGTGACAGATTGGTGAGGGGAGCAGCGGAACGGCACCCAGCCAGGGGGCTGCGCCGACCTTGGGGCAGGTGAGACGCTGGGCTGAGAGCAGTGGTGGCCTGGGGAGGCACACTGGGCTGTGGGGGCGAGGACCCGCATCACTTAGGTGTTTGTCTGAGCCACTGGGCCGGTGCCAGGGCCACTGCGGCCCCTTCTCTGAATCCTAGTGCTTGAGAGCTGCGGCTTGGGGCCTTTCCTGAGATGCGGCCCAGGTGCTCAGAGCTCCATGGGTTCCCATCATCTGGGCGGGGGTGGGGGCACACGGTCAGCAGGACGTGAACAGTCTCACGGGCGGTGACCCTCGGGGGAGGCGCGGCGCTCCCCAAGCTCGGTGACCCCACAGCCTTTGTTCTAATGGCACTTGTGTCTTCTAGGACTCGGGTTCTGAGGGCCGGATTTGAGACACGCTGCCCTGGTCCCAGCCTGCTGTTCCCCAGGTGAGGAGGCAGTGCAGGTACGGATGCCGTCAGAGCTGGGGTCGTCTGTGCTCCTGGCTCTGCCACTGCCCCACTTGTCCCCGAGGTCACTAGGGGATGTCAGGCTCTCAGGTCAGGCTGCAGGGCCACTTTCTGTCCCCAGGTCAGGGGCAAGTCAAACCTTCTACAGGTGCGACTCGTGGGGACAGCACCCAATGGGGCTCCTGAAGACACTGGCCTTGCCCCACCCTCCATCCAGGGGCCCAGGGAAGGCGAAGGAAGCTTGGTGGTGGGTCCCGGCATTCAGGTTTGGCTCAGGGTGCTCACCCTGCGTGTCCCTGCCCAACCCCTTGGGGAGGATAGGAGAGACTTACAACGAAGATCCCTGCTCACCCAGGGACAGTGGGTCTCAGACTCCCTTCAGGTGCCTCCCACTTCAAAGCCCTGTGCCCTCCCTCCTCTCCCCTCCGCTCGTCACCCTTCCACATTTATCCCTCTGGCCACCTGTCTGTCACCCGCCCCTCCATCCACCCTGTGCCCTCCCTCCTCTCCCCCCCGCTCGTCACCCTTCCACATTTACCGATCTATCCACCTGTCTGTCACCCGCCCCTCCATCCACACCGCCGTCCACCCAGCCTTTCATTCAGCAGCATGTGCAGGGAGCCTGCTTCGTTCTCGGTCCCACGTAGTGGCTCCGAACAAATGCCCTGCCCGGGGAGAAGGACAAGTAGGAAAGTACTGTACTGCGTGAGGTCCGGTGACGGCTGCGCGTCCACAGCCCACCCTGCCGGGTATTGTACCTGCATTACCCAATTCAATGCCTGGGCCACTCTGCAAGATAGATTTTGTCATCCTCATTTCCCAGATAAGTAAAATGCGCTCAGACAGGTTGAGTGACTTGCCCAAGGTCACACAGCAAGGAGGTGAGAGAACCGCTTTCAAAGCCAGCAGTCTGCTGCCAGGGCCTGCTCTGGGAGCTGCTCCAGTCTGGGCTATTGGAAGGAAACACAGAAGGACAGTCCTCAGTCCATGTGTCCTGGGGCCAGGGCTGGCAGTGGCAATGGTGATGAGACTGGCTGGAGTCGGCGGCTTCCTGGAGGAGGTGATGTCTAAGGGGAGCATTAGAGGCCGAGTAGAAGTTAGTAAAAGTAGTGTAGTCATCCATTGTGCAGCCGACGGCATAAACGATTACTCGGCCAGTGGGAATTATAGTTACTGGGCCAGGTGTAGCAGAGCCCATGGCCGCTGTCCAGGAAAGCCTAAAAGCCAGAGCCTTCGTCTTTTTATTTATTTTTTTTTTGCAGTCGACTACGTGGGAGTCCAGCGACGTAGCCATTACGCTAACTGCTGGTCCCACCAGTACCTCCTCCTTGCAGCTCTCATGCCTCTCTGCGCCCTTTCCAGACTTTTCCATAAGATGTATTTGCAATGCATCCCCTCGTGTTGTCAGTTCTGCAACAGCCAGTGGGGAAGTGCGGCAGCCCCTCCTGCGCGTCCAGACCGTGTTAGGGAAGCACAGCCTCGGGCTGGACGCTCCTTCTGCCTCATTTCATCTGTAAATGAGATGCCTACGCCCTCCCCGGCAGCACACTGACACGTCACCATGACAACGCCACTCACCCGAGCTTGGACTCCCTGACTCTGACTGTGCCAAGTGCTTTTCATAGATTATTTCAGTTAAAAGCCTATTGAGGAAGGGCTGCTCTTATCTTCCCCTTCCGAACTGAAGAAACTGAGGACAGAGCCATGAGGTAACCTGCTCTAGGTCATCCAGCTAGAAAGTGGCAGAATCCTCCCACCCTCTGACCCCTTTCCCACATGAAACAGCTGACCGTTTCTCCCTAGCCCCCACGCTAGGGTGTCACCCTCTGCGGACACGCGTGCACCACCAGGCCTTCTCTGTAAGGGCCCAGGGCCCGTGTTCCTGCCGGGGGCATGGCTGGGCGTGACAGCTTCATTATGGAGGCGGAAGTTTCGAATTCCTCGTAGTTTTCATGCGCGCCAACGCCCTCCCCCGGTGGCACACTGACACGTCACCATGACAACACCACTCACCCGAGCTTGGACTCCCTGACTCTGACTGTGCCAGACACTGACCTCATTGTCTTCTCACACTGGGGGTACAGTGAGGGGCCCCACCCACAGGGAGGGAGAATGAAGTCCCCGGCGTCCCTTCACTGGCCATGCTGGGGTTTGAACCCGCGTCCAGGGGTCCTGCATTTTCTCTCTCTGAATAGCAGTCAGGTCCTGCCATCCAGAAACAGCTGACCGTTTCTCCCTAGCCCCCACGCTAGGGTGTCACCCTCTGCGGACACGCGTGCACCACGTGGACGCCTGCGCCAGGGCACCAGGCCTTCTCTGTAAGGGCCCAGGGCACGTGTTCCTGCCGGGGGCCTGGCTGGGCGTGACAGCTTCATTATGGAGGTGGAAGTTTCGAATTCCTCGTAGTTTTCATGCGTTACAAAATCTGTTTACGTACTTGAAAGTTCATTCATTTACTTCTTCCGTGATCTGGAGACGGTGCTGGGGGGGGCACCCCACAGGGCCTTGACATCATAATCCACCCCACCCTGAGCCAGCCCAGGATCCTGGGCAGCCACATGCCTCTGGACGTGAACCTGGAACCTTGTCATGTGTGTTAGCCTTTCAGGGTGTCGTGGTTTATAGCTGAGCCACTTTCCAGCCCTTTTTTTTTCTTTTTTCTTTTTCAACTATTTCAAAACGTAAAACCTGTTCTTTGCTTGCCACATCACACGACTCCTGTGCGGCAGTGGGGTCAGGTGCTCTCGTTCCAGCATCGGGACCCACCCAGCTGCCGTCTGCGTGGGCTGGGCTCAGGGACAGTGGCCTGGGCTCTGTCCCTGCCAGACCACCTGCTGGACTCCACGAGGAGCAGGCAGTGGGCCGGGTGTGGTCCTGGGGCTGTGTGTGCAGCACCTGCCCTGCACCAGCCTTCTCTGTCCCAGGGGAGACTGAGGCTCCCTGTCAGCATGGGATAGCACCGCAGGCCCTCTGAGCCCAGCTTTGGGGGCTCCTTGGGACTAAGGTGGTTGTGGGTTCTCCGAAGTCAATGTCACACTCCTCAGTCCGAGTTGGGCTGTCCCCCTGCCTATCTCATGTCCCCCATGTTGTAGGGTAGAAATGTCTGCACCTGCTGGGCAGCTTTCTGGATCTTTCTGGATCTTGGATCTGCCTACTGCAGTTTCGGGTTCCAGCACCTCCTCCTCCTACAGGTGCATTAGCTGTCCTGACAGGCCGACCTGCCTGTCAGTCAAGGGCTGCCTGGCTCTCTGAGCATCAACTCCCTCCCACCTGGGGTGGCCTGGGGGGTGGGCAGCCTGGGCTGTGTCCTTGTCTGTCCACCGACCTGTGACCATGGGCAGGCCTCCGCACCTCTGTGCCTCAGTTTGCCCAAGGGCGCCGAAGGGCTCAGCGGATGCCTGATGCTGCTTGTGTGAGTGACAGGCCTGGTTGCCCTGGGTCTGGAATGCCCGGGCATGGGCCTGGCGCGTTCGAGGCAGGGTCTGCCCTGAGCTCTCTTGGCCTTCTCCTTGCCCTTAGGACTGAGCTCCTGGGTGCAGTCACTCGGTACACATCACCTGACTGGACAGAGGGTCTGGGCCACCCCTTCCTTCCTAGTCTCTGCGACTCTCCAGGAGGGAGCCCTGGACAGATCTTAGGGGCCGGCCACTCGGCCTGTCGGAGCCTCAGTGCCCGGGGTGGAAGGGCCCACATCACAGCTGTGTGGGTTAAAGGGACGATGTGAGAAGGGCCCGCGATGTCGAGGTCGGTGCTGACCCTCAGCCGCTTCTCTCGGAGCAGGCTCGTCTGCTCTGTCCTGAAAGCTTCCCTTTCCCGAAAGCCCCTGCGAGGCTGCCCTGGTGTGGATGTGTGTGCTGGGGAGGAGCAAAGCTCTTTCCTGGACTTTCTGAGACTGCAGCCGAGGGGCCTGACGCAGCTGCCAGGGCCGTTTCCACACCCCTCCGTTTTGCAAGACTGCCCCGGCACCCTGGCCAGACGCTGGCCCCCGAGGCAGTGGGGGGAGCCCTCAGTGGTCAGGGACGGTGCTGTCACTGCTTGGCTCAGCACAGCTGGCCTCCGGTGTGCCCTGCATCATGTACTGGAAGGAGTGCGGAAACAAAGCAGGGCCGTGGTAGGGCAGGAAGGCATACCCGCTCCGCTCTGCTGCCCGCTGCTTGCTGCACGGGGGAGAGAGCCTCCCCTCCCCTGTGGCGCTGTCCCTGCAGGTCTGTAAAGTGCCCTGGTATGCGGCCACACCAGGCGGCCACAGCTAGGGAACAGCAGCCTGCCTGTCCCAGGAGCGTCCTGTCCCGGGTCCCAGCAGGCCTTCCCAGGCCAGGCCTGGGCTTCTCAGATCTTTGCCCCTGCTGATGTGAAGGACTCTTGGTTTTCCTCTCTGGGTCTGGGGGAGGCCCTCGGAGGAGTGGCCGAGGCTGGATTTCCCTGGTGCCTGCAGTTCTCAGCCCCAGGCTGTGGATCTGGGAAGACTGGAGGAGCCCCCTGGGTGTTTGCATGCCCTTGGCTTCCGTGCCAGTGAGGGGGTGCTCACCACCACTTGGGCAAGCTTCTCTTTCTTGGTCAGCTATGCTCACGTTGTGCCTCAGTCCGTCCTTTTGAAAGGGAGCTAGAGAAAACCTCCTTTAACAAAGCTGTCAGGAAACCCAGCTAGGCCCTGGGAGGTTCTGAGCCCTCGTAACCAGCCCCCCTAGCCGGAGGTGGGCAAAGTAGACGCTGAGCCCACTAATGTCCCGAGGGTGGCGGCCTCCCGTGGACAGGAAATTCTCAACCTTTCACGTAGAGCCGGAGGAAGGAGGGTGGAAGCCAGGCTTTGGGGGGCCTTTCCCTCCCTCTGTGGGCTGCCTCAGCACCACAAGCCAGTGGGAACAGCTGGGCTGATGCCTGCCCCCCACCCCTTCCCAGCTCTGCCCACACAGCTGTCCCGGGCCAGCTGTCCTGCCCCAGCTGTCCCACGCTGGCTCTTCTGCCCCCAGTGCCGTTTGTGCACACGCCACCGCGCACACACTCCCGCACAGAGTGTAGGTACTGAAATGCAGGTCTTACCCCCCGAGTGAGATGACCAGCGTCCAGCTCCGCTCTCCCCTGATCCACCGGTGTGGACAGGCCCAGCTGCTCCAGCGTGGTTTGTGTCACCTAGCGTGACTCGGAGACTTGGAAACAACTGCGTCCCGCGCCAGAGCGCTGGTTAAACGCTCTGCGTACATCTCTGTCTGGGCCTGCAACCTGGGGCCACTTGGTTCCTGAATGGCTTCATGCGGTCCGTGAGCCCCTAGACATTATTTGCAAAATGCTACTCATATATGAATTTTCTGGGGAGTCTGTTCCCCCCAAATGCCAGTCAGTGCGGACTGATAGCATGGACCCCTCCGTGATGTGTGAATTACACCGTGCAAGACCGTTCATCGGCAACAGGATGGTGTGTGTCGTAGAAGGAAAACGAGGCTACGGAACGCCCTGTGCGGACGAGTCCGGTTTCGTCTGGGCCGTTTGTGCACACGCCACCGCGCACACACTCCCGCACAGAGTGTAGGTACTGAAATGCAGGTCTTACCCCCCGAGTGAGATGAATGTTCCATTTCATCCGGGTTCTTCTGTATCTGTGGGCTGCTCTACGGTGCCTATTTGTCCTTTGTCATAAGGAACGAGGGCACACAGTCCACTATCGGAGAAGCCAGACCTTCCGTCCTTGCCCCCACAACCTCCCAAGGGAGTTCGCACGTTTGTGGAACAAGCCACGGGTCTCACCTCTGGGTCCGTGTCATTCTCATGAACTCTGACCTCCGGAGCGATGCCCATCTGGACATGTTTTGCGCCTGGGGTGGAGGCTGGGGCTCCCGGTAATGTCCCTGCAGCTGCAGCCTCAGTGGAGGGGTCGACCCAGACCCTGACTCCAATCACCAAGTGGCCAAGCCCGCCCAGGGCATCACATCTCCCAGCTGTGTGGCTTTGGGCCAGTCTCCCAGCCTCTCTGGGCCACAGCATCCCATAAAGCGGGGCAGTGTCAGCACCCGCTCAGACACATGGGGCGGTGTGGGCTGGGGATCACAGCTGCCCTCGGCACTGGCCCCTCCTGCCCTCCCACCCTGGCCGGCCCTGCCGGGCACTGACCTGCCATTTCTCTCCTCCCCAGGGAGCATCAGGACCAGCAGGATGGGGTCTGCCTGTGTCAAAGTCACCAAATACTTTCTCTTCCTCTTCAACCTGCTCTTCTTTGTAAGTATGGCGAGTGCTGCCCCAGGGCCACCACCAGACTCCTCAGGGGACCTCCCAGTCTGAGACCTGAGGAGCTCTGGCAGTGGGGGTGGGTGGAGGGGTGTGGTTGGGGGCACTGAGAACCCTCTGGAATGGGATCGGGTCGGGGTGGTGAGGAGCCTCCCAGCATTCCCAGCTGGCTCTCTGGCAAAGCGCTGGGTTCCCTCCCCAGCCTCCCTTCTCCTGCTGCACCCCAGCTGGGCCCACTGGGACTGGCAGCGGGTGTGGGGAGAGGAGAAGCCTGGGACCCCCAGCTCCTCAGCAGGAGTTGCTGGAAGAACCCTCTTGGCCTCTCGCTGGTCCTGTCCTGACCCCTCTGCAGTCCCGGGTCTCCACTGCCCAACACGCCCCACCCCTGCTGTGTGGACCAGCTCCCTGTACTCCCAGGGGGTGAGCAAGAGGAAGCAGGCTGGGCCGGCAGAGGGACACCGCCCCTTTGCAAACCTCCCCTCCTTGGGCGCCCAGGTGGAAGCTCCGTGTGCTCTGAGGGTGGTGTTCCTCTCCTGCCTTAGATGATGCTGTGTGTGTCAGAGTATCTGTGTGGTTATGAGTGTGAGAGGGTGTGGCAGGGACATGAGTGGCCAGGAGAGGTCCGCATAGCCCTGTGCGTCCGACTGTGGCTCTTCACGTTGTGGATCACCCTATGCTGTTAAGGACCGGGTTATTCAGGAGCATGCTATTCCAGTGTTGGCCTTGAAAGTGTGTGTGTTCAGGCCCTACCATGGTGGCACGGGCAGCAGGGCACTGCTGCAGGTACTGGATCCACGTGGAAGGTGCTGGGATCGAATTCCGGGTTGACCTGCTTCAGGTGCAGCCAGGGCGCACCCGTGATCTGAGCTGGCTGGAAGACGGGGTGGTGGGGGAGGATCATGGCGTGGTGAGAGCCTGTCAGGGTAACTGCTGCACCCCCCTCGAAAGGGAAGTAAATAAGCTCCAGGTTTTCTGATGTGCCTATTTCTAGAGGTAGGAGTGCCTGAGAGGAGAAGAGAGCTCTGAGTGTGGACGTGCGGTTCCGGGGCTCTCCACCCTACCCCTCGTGCATCTGCATTTTCCACATCACCAACAGCAGGTCCGAGTCACTTGGGGAGGAACAGCTTTACGCCGTAGTCGGCTACAGGGCTTTCGGAAGGTCAAGGTCCTTCCATTCCCCTTCTCCACTTGAACCCAATGCAGAGAGACTTCCGAGGGTACTCCTGGCACACACACACGCATGCACTTGCACGCGAGCACACACGGTGGCCCTGGTGCTGCCTGCCCTGCTGCTTGTCTACCCCGGCCCCGGCTCCTGCTCCCCCGAGGGCCATGCTGAGGTGCCACATGCCCAGCCCTCCTCTCGTGGCAGCCAGCCCGGAAGGCACTGGGGCAGGGCCTGGGCACCTGGTGGTCAGGTCTCCCCTGGCTGGCCCAGGCCTTTGGAAAGCAGCTGCCTGTGCAGGTGAAGCCAAGCTCCCCTGGCAGGCGCTGGGCTGCTGGGCCGAGGCCCAGCTCGAGGGCTAACAGGCCAGGACTGGGAGGAACTAGAGAGATTCTGGGTCAGGCTCGAGGGTGGTGGGGTTGGGGTTCCAGAGTGCAGATGCTTCTGTCCCCCATGCAGTGGGCGGGAGGTGGCAAGACCTAGTGGGGAGAGTGGTGATGGTTTTGGCCAGGGTGGCCCTTCCTGTCATGCTCCGGGCTGCCCTGTGGAACCAGAGCCTGGAAAAGCTCCTCACTGGCCAGAGCTCGGGGAGCTGATCTCGGGCCACCCCAGACTTGGCCTCCTCCCAGTCCTCCAGGGGCCTGGCTAGAGTCAGTGTTAACTGCCTGTGTGCTGGGGCCAGGGCGGCCCGCCAGGATGTTGGGGTGTGCTTGGGGGAGTCAGCAGGAGGTTTTTTTGGTTTTATTTTTTAAACAATTATTTATTCAGTAGTAGTTTTTAAAACTTGACCAGAGAGAGAAAGGGAAAGTGAGAAAGCAAGCCGCCAGGTCTGGGACTCACCGTGGTCAGCCATGTGGGGGTCCAGCGCCTTGCCCACCGTGCCAAGAGCAGGAGTTTTCATTAGGAGGCTGAGGGGGAAGAGGAGGGCGAGCAGATCGTGCATGTTTATTCTGTTGCTCATTCCCCTTCAACGGGTGTGAATCGGACACCTGGTATATTCACATACCTTCAGGCAGAGAACCTGGTGTCCACACCTAGGGAGCTTAAGTTCAGGGGGAGGGGTTTCAGTCAGATCTCTCCTGGGAGACACGGTGGGTGCTCGCCGGAGGCCCAGAGGACGCAGGTAGTGGGGCACCTGGCCTCATTCGAAGGTCAGTAGGGCTTCCAGGCACTCGGGGTGCACCGGAGGCCCAGAGGACGCAGGTAGTGGGACGCCTGGCCTCATTCGGAGGTCAGTAGGGCTTCCAGGCACTCGGGGTGCACTGGGGAGAGGCTTCACAGCCCGTGTGGGGACTCTGCAGCACATGCCTGGCAGGGGCCCGACCGGCAGGCGCCCCCGC